GACTAAAATTTGCATTGCTACATGCCAATTTGCATTGCTACATGCCAATTACTTGTCTTGTGAGTATTACTAGAGTGTCTGCTTAATATCTGCTGATTCTGCTCCTTCAACAGACATGTAACTGACTATATGAAACTTTGCAAGTACATGCTAACATACACTGACCCTAACCCCAACCTAACAGTCTGCTTATAATCTAACAGGAATTAGTTGACATGTAGATGCAATGTAACTTAAATTTTAAAAAACGTGTTAAAGGGACCATCAAAATTAAGTGATGAATAAAAATAATCTCATCATGGCAACAAACCTCACGTCAAGCCATTATATAGCAGCATCTTCAACCCAGATTCGCTGGGCATCTAAAATACTTATATAACCGCCAACAATAACTGCCACAAAGTCTCTGTGCACGACAGGCTTCCCGAGCGTGTGCGTGTGTATGGAGCGAGTATGATTGACATGCCCAGCTTGAAAAGTTCCACCGCCTGCAGGTCAGTCATAAACGTGTGTGCAGTAACTTTTCACGTTAAAACGTCAATCATACACTTTTCCACACCATAACGCCAATCATACTCTCTACCACGAGAGCACAGAACAGCAACAGCCTTTTTTCCACCGAAATGCAGCTGACAGACTAAAATACAAGCATTTAATGAACTTATGGGTATGTGCTGTATTATTTAACGCCAAACAAACATATGTACTCACCTTATTCTAATCCTGCATTTGTTTGTTATTTACTCTGAAATGCAGCTGTCAAACTGGAATATACAGGCATTTAATAAACTGCCAATGGTTGCGTAGGCTACTCTATATGTTGACTTCTTTAACTTAACGCCATAAAACTTATCCTCACCTCACTACAATAGGCCTACGAGCTTTTTTTGCTTGCCTTTTTACCCTAAAATGCAGCTAACATAATGAAATATATACCATTTAACAAACCAGCAACTGGACCTACTTTATAGGCTATATACTTTTTTATTTTAATGCTAAGAACACTTCTTTACTTACCTTATTCCAATCATTTTTGTTTGTTAGCTTGTTTGTTAGCTTGTTTGTTTGTTTGTTTTTTTGTTTGTTTGTTTGTTTGTTTGTTGTCCTGAAATGCACCTGACAGACTGAAATGTAGGCATCTAATAAACTGGCAAGGTGTATGTAGGCTACTGTATATGTTGACTACTTTAATTTAACGCCAAAAAACTTATCCTCACCTCACTGCAATAGGCCTACTAACTATTTTTGATTATCTGCAATGCAGCCGACATACTGAACTATATAGACATTTAATAAACTGGTACATTGACTTAATAGGCTATACACTTCATTATTTTAAAGCCAAATACACTTCTGTCCTCACCTTATTCCAAAAATTACAGTTTTTTTGTTTGTTTGTTTGCTTTTTACACTGAAATGTACCCAACAGACTCAAATATATAGTCACTTTATAAACTATAGCAAAGCATATGTACTACACCTATATATTCACTTCATTTTTATAATGCCAGCACCCTCACCTTATTACTGTATTAACAGTTTGTTTGTTTGTTTGTTTGTACTGCAAAGACTGAAATATACAGTCATAAATAACTGTAAACTGTAGAAACTAATACGAGCTATACATGTTCACTTCATTATTTTAATGCCAAATACAGTTCTGCTCTCAAATTATACCAAAAATAACTGTTTGTTTGTTTGTCTGTTTGTCTGTTTGTTTGTTTGTTTGTTTGTTTGTTTGTTTGTTTGTTTGTTTTTTACCCTGAAATGTACTTGACAGACTGAAATATATTGTCATTTAATAAAAAGTAGCAACAGGTACGTACTATATATGTTCGCTTCATTATTTTAATGCCAAAAACACTTCTGCCTTCATCTTATTCCAGTAATAACTGTTTGTTTGTCTGTTTGTTTATTTATTTGTTTTTTTTTATGCTGAAAAGTACCTGACAGACTGAAATATAGTCATTTAATAAACTAGCAACTGATACGTACTATAACTATACATTCACTTCATTTTTTTTCATTTCATTTTTAACGACAAATCACTTCTGCCCTCAGCTTATTCCAATAATTACTGTTTGTTTTTTTGTTTGTTTGTTTGTTTTTACCCTGAAATGTACCTGACAGACTGACATATATAGACATTTCATTAACTGTAACAACTGATACAGACTATATCTATTCATATAATTATTTTAATGCCAAAACACTTCTGCCCTCACCTTATTCAATGAATATCTGTTTGTTTGTTTATTTATTTGTTTGTTTGTTTGTTTATCCTGAAAAGTACCTGACAGATTGAAATATAGTCATTTAATAAACTATAGCAACTGAAACGTGCAATACCTATATATTCACTTCATTTTTTTAACGGCAAAACACTTCTGCCCTCAGCTTATTCCAATAATTAATGTTTGTTTGTTTGTTTGTTTTTTACCCTGAAGTGTACCTGACAGACTGAAATATATTAATTAACAATAAACAGTAACAACTGATATGTACTATAACTATATATTTACTTCATTACTTTAATGCCAAATATACTTCTGTACTCACCTTATTCCAATAATAACTGTTTGTTTGTTTGTTTGTTTTTTTATCCTAAAATGTACCTGACAGACTGAAATATCATTTAAAAAACTGATACGTACAATAGCTATATATTCACTTCATTTTTGTCACCAAAACACTTCTGCCCTCACCTTATTCCAATAAAAACTATTTGTTTGTTTGTTTGTTTTACCCTGAAATGTACCTGACAGACTGACATATATAGTATTTTAATAAACTGTAGCAACCGATACGGACTATAGCTATATATTCACTTCATTATTTTAACACCAAATACACTTGTACTTCTTTAATTCCGATATTTACAATTTATTTGTTTGTTTTTTACTCTGAAAAGTACCTGACAGACTGATATATAGGTTTTATTAAACGGGCCACGGGTATGTACTGTACATATCCACTTTATTTTAACGCCAAAACACTTTTGTATTCACCTTACTCCAATATTAACTGTTTGTTTGTTTGTTTGTTTGTTTGTTTGTTTGTTTGTTTTTATCCTAAAAAGTACCTGACAGACTGAAATATCATTTTAAAAACTGATACGTACAATAGCTTTATATTCACTTCATTTTTTGTCACCAAAACACTTCTGCCCTCACCTTATTCCAATTAAACTATTTGTTTGCTTGTTTGTTTTACCCTGAAATGTACCTGACAGACTGACATATATGGTAATTTAATAAACTGTAGCAGCTGATAAAGACTATAGCTATATATTCACTTCATTATTTTAACACCAAATACACTTGTACTTCTTTAATTCCGATATTTACAATTTATTTGTTTGTTTTTTACTCTGAAATGTACCTGACAGACTGAAATATAGGTTTTAATAAACTGGCCACGGGTATATACTGTACATATCCACTTTATTTTAACGCCAAAACACTTTTGTATTCACCTTATTTCATGAATAACTGTTTGTTTGTTTGTTTTACCCTGAAATGTACCTGACAGACTGACATATAAAGTAATTTAATAAATTGTAGGAACTGATACAGACTATATATGTTCACTTCATTATTTTAACGCCAAAACACTTCTGCCCTCACCTTACTCCAATATTAACTGTTTGTTTGTTTGTTTGTTTGTTTGTTTGTTTGTTTGTTTGTTTGTTTGTTTGTTTGTTTTTATCCTAAAAAGTACCTGACAGACTGAAATATAATTTCATAAACGAACTGATACGTACAATAGCTTTATATTCACTTCATTTTTTAACACCAAAACACTTCTGCCCACACCTTATTCCAATAAAAACCATTTGTTTGCTTGTTTGTTTTTACCCTGAAATGTACCTGACAGACTGACATATATAGTAATTTAATAAACTGTAGCAGCTGATACAGACTATAGCTATATATTCACTTCATTATTTTAACGCCAAATACATTGTACTTCTTTAATTCCGAAATTTAAAATTTGTTTATTTTTTACCCTGAAATGTACCTGACAGACTGAAATATAGGTTTTAATAAACTGGCCACGGGTATGTACTGTACATATCCACTTCATTTTAATGCCAAAACACTTTTGTATTCACCTTATTTCATGAATAACTGTTTTTTTGTTTGTTTGTTTTTACCCTGAAATGTACCTGACAGACTGACATATAAAGTAATTTAATAAATTGTAGCAACTAATACAGACTATATGTTCACTTCATTATTTTAACGCCAAAACACTTCTGCCTTCACCTTACTCCAATAATAACTGTTTGTTTGTTTGTTTGATTTTATCCTAAAAAGTACCTGACAGACTGAAATATAATTTAATAAACGAACTGATACGTACAATAGCTATATATTCACTTCATTTTTTTTAACACCAAAACACTTCTGCCCACACCTTATTCCAATAAAAACCATTTGTTTGATTGTTTGTTTTACCCTGAAATGTACCTGACAGACTGACATATAAAGTAATTTATTAAATTGTAGGAACTGATACAGACTATATATGTTCACTTCATTTTTTAACGCCAAAACACTTCTGCCCTCACCTTACTCCAATAATAACTGTTTGTTTGTTTGTTTGTTTGTTTGTTTGTTTGTTTTTATTCTAAAAAGTACCTGACAGACTGAAATATAGGTTTTAATAAACTGGCCACCGGGTATGTATTGTACATATCCACTTTATTTTAACGCCAAAACACTTTTGTATTCACCTTATTCCGTGAATAACTGTTTGTTTGTTTGTTTGTTTGTTTTTACCCTGAAATCTACCTGACAGACTGACATATAAAGTAATATTCACTTCAATACTGTAACGTCAAAACACTTCTGCATTCACCTTATCCTAAATGTAACTATTTGTTTGTTTTTACCCTACAGACTGAAATATGGCCGTTTATTAAACTAGCAACTGGTACACACAGTATATATCCACTTCTTAATTATAACGCCAAAAAAATAGACCTCAGTACTCACCTCAATTCCAATACACAAATGAGATGCAGCAATCCGTGAAGTTACCTCACGATGCGTTCGGTTACCTGTGACAACTTTGAATAAACATTGCTTAAAGATGCTTAAACAAGACTGACTCCTTTCCCCAATAGTCCACAACATGAAAAGTTTATAATATACTTCCGCGCGTTCACTCAAGACTGCGCGTCGCGTTAATTGGACGCAAGACATTCAAGCAGCGCGTGACTGATAACTGACAACAACTTTTCTAGCATGATCTACAAGCGCTGTCAGAGACAACACAGCATCCAAAGGCGCAGAGCGTATCATCATCTGCTTGTTAAAAGTCTGTCCGCGCGCTGTCTTCATTATAGAGACCCCCCTCCTTCCTCCACACACACACACTCATAAATAAAACTTACTTTTCCCTCGCTTGGCTGTCGGACGGTACGTTGTTACTCTTGCCTTTGGCGTACATGCTTGCAGAGAGCTCCGATTGTCACGCACCTGTCAACCCATCACAGCCTCCCCGGACACAACCCCGTCACCATGGCGACTGCAGGAGCGATGCCTCCCATTGGTCGGGGCTCCGAAAAGGAACGCCCGTTTTGTTGGGTAACTGGAGTGAGTGACGGTTTCTCGGCCCCGCCCACACAGAAACACAACCCCTTTCTTATCTCCTTGCGCTGTGTCTGTGGAGCGCGCGCACACACATACGCGCACACACACGAACTGAGGGGAATTTGAAACCGTACTGAGAGGGATTTTAAACAACTGGCTGTTCCCCTCACAAGCAATCACACCCTCTACTGTCACTGGCCAAATTTAAAGTGATATGGCAAACGCGGAGCGGATTTCTTCAGCTTCTGTTTGTGCTGATGATTATTTGGGTCGTGCAGAATTGCACATCGCATTATAAAATACAGATATAACTTATGGATTTGCAAAATTATTTGTTTACATCTTCTAAAAAGTGCATTAACTGCACTGTAGCATTATAGACAGGTAGCACTGCTTAGAAAATGAGTGTGTGGTTCAGACTAATCTTCTGTTGTATGCTGGGCTTGACATTAACTTTTGTGATCACCAGCCACTAGTAGATTCCAAACAATACAAGCCACTTGCCATTTTCACTAGCCACAATTTTGTTGTTGGGAAAATATATTTCATATGCATAAATTTGACTTTGACACGCTAAAATTACTTGATTTAGATGTTGTGTTCACATGCCTCTTCATTCATTTGACTTTTTGTGTGTCCTGTATGAGCAAATGGGCCATGGTTTCAAAGGCTGTGTTCGAAACCGCCTACTACTCAGTAGGTACTGCATTTGAATTTAGACGTACTACTCGGCCATAGATATATACATTATGTGTCGCCTGGCCTATTGTTGTCTATTGGACGGAATGCGTCAATAGCGCCGCCATCTTGCTACAGGGTAGCGCTCCTTTGAAATGAATGCGGGACCAAGGTACAGTGTAGCACTGTGGCCATCCAAAGCCAGAGATATACACACATACACATATATCTGTGATCGGGAGTTTTCCTGGATGTTAGTATGTAATTTTTTTTTCTAATTACGAAAATTATAATTTTACATCACTTTTCTACATTGATGGATCAGTGACCGCACGGGCAAAAAGCTTGTGTTTGTGTGTACAGAAATCTACTATTCACCCTCCCTGTTAAATTTTATATAATCCGTGTCCTGAAACACAGCTCATCTCCTGCTTTCACTTCTCATACTGACGGAGACTGTTATCATCAATAGCGTTACCTGATTCGTTTCTTTTACTAGCCAACAATAATAAGTTTCTGGCAGTGCAGCATCTCGTTGTCATATTTCTTTTGCATTGTTTGCTGATTTTATTCAACAAAACAGCATAAGCCGAGTGTTTAGTGCGAGTTGGAGCTGCTTTGCCTTATGGTGAATGCAGTAAGTGACTGTTATCATCAATAGCGTTACCTGATTAGCACAAAAGTTCAATATTAAATATAAAAAAGTTTAATATTACCTATGAAATGTTCTGCCTTTGTGCTTTGTTTTCTTTGTTTGCTCGTTACTACACTCGTAGACAGCGCTAAAATCCCGCATCTTCACGTAATAACACTGTCTTATCTAGTGCGGTTGAATTTGTCCTGGGAGCACTGTACCAATGTGGCGCCGCTATTGACGCATGCTCAGGGTCCCTATGCGATATCTAGTGTATGTATCTATGCTACTCGGCCGTTATAAAAGTGCGTTCTATCCGCTTGTTAAGTGTGACGTCACGCGAAGCGGCTTCCGGGTCCAAGCGCTCTATTCAACTGAATGGGGAGACTCATGAAATGGTAATAATAAATGTTTACAAAGCGATTTAATACTTTCGAAAATCACGATGGGATGCACACTCCAGAATCTCGCCGGAAGTAGTAAGTCATCCGGGTACGTCTCGCATACTGTTTTTCGATTTCTACCAATTCGGACATACTACTCGGCTCGCATACTGATTTTAGCATACTGTATAGTATGGAAGTATGCGGTTTTGGACGCAGCCATCCGTTTGTTAAGTGGTGACGTGTTTGTGACGTATATAATACTGTTTCCGGGTCCAAGTCGCCATTTATTTGAGTGGAGAAATCATTTGTTTATGATCACGTTTTATTCCTATCACACATTAAATTTAATTTTATATAAAGTCATAGTGTACACAACAATCTCTGGGCTTGCTGCATAACAAATACCAAAAATGTAACAATTTATAAAAAAATTAATCACTTTCTGGCCATCGGATATTAGGCATGGACATATATAATGCGATCGTGGTTTTCGAAAGCCTTAAATCGCTTTGTAAACGTTTATTATTACCATTTCATTAGTCTCCCCTTTCAGTTGAATAGAGCGCTTGGACCCGGAAGCCGCTTTGCGTGACGTCACACTTAACAAGTGGATAGTGTTGTGTTACCAGGGGTGCCCCCAAGGGGTGGCCAAGGGTGGCCACGGCCACCTCTATGGCCACCCCAATATGATTTTGTTGCTATTATTAATTTAAATGTAATTATGTAAATTAACAATATTTCCATAAATAATAAAATGCAGCCACTGTCGTTGTTGACAACACACACACACCTTAAACAGACAGAAATGGCAATTTTTTAAAGAAACAACAACGGGTATGTATGTCATACATAATGTATATATTTTGTTAACCTTTCTAGTTAAAAACTAAACATATCAACGTTACTTAACAAGGCTCAAAATTCTCAAGGATCAGTAAAGTGTTTATAATTTGTTTAGTATTGTCTGATGACGAGAGACGAAACACGACTTTGGGTTCATGCGATTGTTAAATTTTTATGAAGAAATGACTATTTTTAAAATAAAAACATTGTGTTTTATGCAAATGAAAACCGCAACAATTAATAAATGCCTTTTTTAAATCAGCTTTTCAGACTTGTTTAGCACCTCGTTTTTTTGACTGGTTGACTTACAAAGGCCAAAAATTGTAATGATTTTGTAGTGAATATCAATAGAAGAAGCTGTATTGATAATATTGTTGCTCAAAAAGGAATATGGATAAACTATATTATCAGGGTCTGTATTGTGAGTGTGTGTATACAGTAATGCCTTTTGTTCAGGTTTTTATGAATTAATTAATTCATTATTATTATTTTAGTAATAACATATATTATTCATATTTAGTAATAATTAAAATATTTAAGATCGATTAATTCATTAATTAAAAGAAAGTTATTTAATTTACTAAAAACAAAAATATAGCATTACACTATTTATGTGTGTGTGTGTGTGTGTGTGTGTGTGTGTGTGTGTGTGTGTGTGTGTGTGTGTGTGTGTGTGTGTGTGCCACCCTAAGATTTGGTGTGGCCTTATCTGGCCACCCCTAAGCAAATTTTCTGGGGGAGCCACTGTATGTTACAATTAGTTTTTAGTTCACATGACTTTTTAGAGCTCAAATTAAGGATTTACCAAGTTTGTCGCTGACCATACCAAACATAAATAAATTACTATTTTGTTTAACCAATGACAGCTGAGGGGGCGTGTTTGTGGAAACCTGTTTGAAAACAGTGCTCTGTGTGCAACTGTAGTGTAGTCTGAAATATGTAAGCAGGGGCGGATTTAAGCAATAAGCAAGGTAAGCGGCTTGAATGAGTGTGTCTGTTTCCCAGAGATGGGTTGCGGCTGGAAGGGCATCCGCTGCATAAAAACTTGCTGGATAAGTTCATTCCGCTGTGGCAACCCCGGATTAATAAAGAGACTAAGCCGACAAGAAAATTAATGAATTAAATGTTTTCTATCATATTTTGTATAGTGAGGGTCTAAAAATTTTAATTTAAATGTAATTATTACATCTGCGCAAATGTGTCCCCCACCTTCAATCATGGACCAGTCCAACTGTCAAATCAATAAAGATTTAGTTTTAATAACGAAATATTTAAATTACATTTTTTTTGTTGTGTTTTTTATATAGTTTTTAGTTCACATGACTTTTTAGAGCTCAAATTAAGGATTTACCAAGTTTGTCACTGACCATACCAAACTTAAATAAATTACTATTTTGTATCCACAGTTTTTAAATGTGTCAAAAGAAGCTAAATATACTGTAGCTGTATACTATTTATTTAACAAAACATTTCTTAAAAAATAAAAAAGAAACAATTGACATTTTAAAAATAACTGCTGTAGTGTATCTAAAATTATGCACAGTAATCTGTCCTGGCTAAAGGTCCCAGATCGCCAGTGAACTATACATAAATGGGGAGTTAATCTAAAATTAAAGCAATGTTATTGTAAAAAAAGATAAACCATATTACCAAAAATAAGCAAAAGAAAGCAGGTGAAAAACATTCCGTGTGTGATAATGAAGGGATGATCACACACAAGGTTAACGCTAGGCCAGTTAATAATCTGTTCAAAGAATGGTTAAAGCGAAAGTAATCAGTGCTGTTTACCAAAAGACAAATCTAGAGCTCTTGAAAGCAGCAAAACTATGGGTGCAAGAGCATATATTTTTGTCCAGTCTATTTGAAAGAGAAACGCTAACACCAGTTGCATTTCTAGGCACGGTTGCTTCAGGCAAGGGAGAGCGCACACGTTTCAAACAGTCACATGCATCGCATCACATGTGCGCGCGAGTGATGTAATTAGCTTTGTCAGTCTTGCTGCTTCTCGATTCTAAGATCACATTTGCACGCATATTGGGCCATCTTTATTGTCGCACCCTGATTTTAAGAAAACTACAATTTAAAAATTATTTATAACCAGCCAAAGTGGCTAGTGGCGGTGTCTGTCTAACCTGCAACAGGGGAAATTTACCCACATTTGGCGGGTTGGCGGGTGTTAATGTTAAGCCCTGGTTGCATGTAATGAATGGCTACCAGTGTTGGGGGTAAAGCATTACAAGTAACGTGAGTTACGTAATAATAATAATTTTCTAGGTAACGAGTAACAGAATGCATTACTTTTCAAAAATAAGTAATAATGTTTTAGTTACTTTTCTAATTAATTACTTTTAAAAAATGCTAAATTAAAATTGAAGTAGTCAAAATAAATCAAGCACTCAATTAGACAACGTGTTCATTATGTTGTACACATCGAAGAAAAGGAAAAGGAGATTGCCTCAATGGCCAGTGATTTTACTTAAGATCAGGGGCGTCGCTAGACCACATTAACTGGGGCATGTGCCCCAGTAAAAATCGCCAGTGCCCCAGTAAATACTTTGAGATGTGATTTACTTCATATGCAAAGTTTATTTATTAAGAGTCGTATTTCTGAAATAAAGACGTTATTCTCGATGTGCAACCGAACCAATGTTGGTGAAAGCAATGTAGTTTAACCAAAAAGCAAACTAAGCACTAAGAATTCAGATGAAATTAATAATCATGCGAAAGATTTCTTAAATTGTCTTAGCATCACTCCATTTGTGACTTTAGATTGTTTTTCAGTTACATTAAGGATTAATTTCTGTCATTTATTTAGAATATTAATTGTATAATAACAGTCATACTGTTATTTATTTATAATTATATGTAATTTTGTTTGATTAGCACCCATGTTAATTTTTTCCCACAATTTCTGTTTAACGGAGAGCAGATTTTTTCAACACATTTCTTAACATAATAGTTTTAATAACTCATCTCTAATAACTGATTTATTTAATCTTTGCCATGATGACAGTAAATAATATTAGACTAGATATTCTTCAAGAGCCTTCAATACAGCGTAAAGTGACATTTAAAGGCTTAACTAGGTTAATGAGGTTAACTAGGCAGGTTATGGTAATTAGACAAGTGATTGTATAACGATGGTTTGTTCTGTCGACTTTTAAGCTGCGGTCACAGTACAGTTTGTGTGTGCGATATTCTGTCGTGGGGAACTGCGAAAAGAGGCGGGATTAAACAAGCTAATTAGACATTTTTAAAAGCGAGCGATTGCTCCATGTTTTTAATTTCTGTCCAGAGATGTCATTTTGATTCTCGATTGTTCTCACACAGTCAAGTGATGTGATTTCGCAGGTCAGAGCTCACTAAGCTTGAACTTTGCACCGCAGCAACCTGCGAAACTTAACGCATGACCCTGCGTTTCTGGTCTGAGGTATTCGCGTGCGTATGAATGGAAGTCTATAGGAGGAAAAGCCCAGTGTGACTGCAGCTTTAAGAAAAAAATATAGCTTAAAGGGGCTAACAATTTTGTCCTTAAAATGGAGTTTAAAAAATTTAAAACTGCTTTTATTTTATCCAAAATAAAACAAATAAGATTTTTTCCAGAAGAAAAAAAATTATCAGACATACTGTGAACATTTCCTTGCTCCGTTACATATCATTTGTGAAATAATTCTGACTTCAACTGTATATATATATATATATATATATATATATATATATATATATATATATATATATATATATATATATATATATATATATATATTATTTTTTTTATTTTATTTTTTAAGGGGGAACTGTGTCCCAGTACAGCTTTTTGTCTAGCAACGCCTCTGCTTAAGACAAATAGTACAAAAGCAGCAAACACATTGCTTTAAACTTTCATTAGTCTGTACAGTACACAGCATGTATAGCCAGGGGTGGATCTTCTTTGGAGTTCTTTGGACGATTCTAAGGGCCCATGCGTTTTGAGGCCCCCAGAGATGTTAATAGGGGCCCACGACTCCCAATCGTTAACCGATTAAAAAAATCAAGAGTAAGATATAATGGATGTGTTTTTGCCGTTGAATAAAACGTGAAAGTATCTTGAGTTTACGATTGCCATGAACCTTTTTTAAATGATTTAACCAAAATCCCATTCAAAAAAACCTATTGACTTTGGCAGGAGGGAACTGGGACTGCTAAAATGCTAATGGTTTTTGCATACAAATTGACGTCATAGTTCCTCCACTATGCACTAAATAGGACTGGCGACGTCACTGTGATGGGATAGGGTTAGGTGAGCAGATTAAAAAGCATTGGATGCTCAGATTGCACTGGTTCCTAGTTATTTTGATAACTATCCCCATAGGCAAATAAATCAGAAGTTCTAAAACAAACGCAGTAAGCAAAAACCAGTATGGGATAAAATGATGTCTCAACAAAGTGTTTATAAAAGAGTCCCTGAATTACCAACAAATTATGTCGAAATTCTGCATATGCTAGGCACTTTTTAATCCCATGACGCCACAGGAGATCATCTGTGTATGGCAGTATAGCCTAGGTCGCAGGCGGATGGAAACTGTTCATTCTGTTTACATCACCCAGAGACGTTGATTCATCTTTTTTATGATTGTGAATATTCAAAAATTTTTTGGGAAGATCTATCATTGTATGTCAAAAAAAAAAAATCAGGTTTTAGTTGCAAATTGACCCCCAAAGACGTTATTTTTTATTTTGTTTCAAACAATTTATCTGTGGAATTTTTACTGAATCTTTTAATTTTTTTCTGTAAATTTAATGTTCATAAATGCAGGTTAAATAACTCTAAACCTTGTTTAAAGGTTGCTATTGCAGACTTTCATTTGTATATAGAATCGCTCCAATATATTAAGAGCGAAAAATGTATAAATACAATTATTGTGGCAAAGGAGCTGAAGTTAATTGATTAGTACTCTTGCTGTTTATTGGTTAAGTTAAAATATTATCATTGTAAAGACCTCTATGTTGAATTGTCTTTTTTATTTGTTTATGTAATTTATTTTAATTTGTTATTAGTTACTTTTGTATTTTTGGATGTCATGTTTAAATTGTATATTTGTTGTTTAATTTAAAAAAAAAGTAGGTAGCCTAGGTCATGTGATGCAAACAGTAAATCACGTGATAATTATGATTATTTAAGATTCAATAAAATGTTTAATATGGAAAATATATATAAAATCATTAAATTGAACATTAAATCTTGCCTATAGATACATTTTCAGGAATGGAAATGATTCGCTCCATCACCAATAGTATGATTGATCATAAACAAAACATCAAAACAATGTCATCATGGCTACTAAAAAGCGTCAGGGCTTTAGTTTCGGGTTAAACTAGCTGATTGTGGACGCTGATCTCATCTGTCTTGTGCTGTGTGTATTATTTTGGCGAATGTTTTAACTGCTCTCTGTCCTCTAATGTCTGCGCTGTGCTTTTTTTCCCGGAGTGGGCGGCTTGAAACCGCCTGTGCTGAATAACATTGGCTGTTCCGTGGCGCCCCCTCCGCGCTCAGGATCCCGGAAGTGGCCGTGTGAGATCATGGTAAGACCGAGCGGTAGAGCAGTTTGCGTCAGCGTGTGTGTGTCTCTGTATGTGTGTGTGGATGTTCTTTCTGACAGTTTCGAACATTTAGAACATGTAGGCAGATTGTAAATCACATCAAAGTTAAAAAGAACGTGTTCTGCGGTAACCACAGCAACGATGCCGCCGGCTTTATAAATAGAGGCTCTTGAGTGCTGCACGGTTGAAGAGCCCCGAAAGCTGATGCTCAAACTGCTGTTTTCTGTCTGCGCTGTTGTGTTTAAGACGCTTTATAACGCTTTATATAACAGTATCAGCAAAAGGTGTGTCCTGGCTATATGCAAAGAGGCTTCATTAGTCTTTCAAGCTGTAAACCGTTGTTATATTTGAAATTACAGTGAAATATTAGTGTAATTTGTGTTAAGACACTTCACATCCAAACTTCGATCATTGTAATACACAGAGGCAACTGCATATTACAATAAAATACTCGAAGAGGTTGCAGGAAGTAAAGAAAAGTTAACATATACAGCCAATTATTAGCTCAACAAACAAAATGTGTAAGTTCAGGGCGGAGCTATGGGTTTGTTTGACCAATGACAGTTGAGGGGGCGTGTTTGTGGAAACCTGTTTGAAAACAGTGCTCTGTGTGCAACTGTAGTGTAGTCTGAAATATGTAAGCAGGGGCGGATTTAAGCAATAAGCAAGGTAAGCGGCTTGAATGAGTGTGTATGTTTCCCAGAGATGGGTTGCGGCTGGAAGGGCATCCGCTGTGTAAAAACTTGCTGGATAAGTTGGTGGTTCATTCTGCTGTGGCGACCCCGGATTCATAAACGGACTAAGCTGACAAGAAAAGGAATGAATTAGATGTTTTCTTTCATATTTTGTATAGTGAGGGTCTAAAATTTTTTTATTTAAACGTAATTATTACATCTGCGCAAATGTGTCCCCCATCTTCAATCATGGACCAGTCCAGCAGTCAAATCAGTAAAGATTTAGTTTTAATAACGAAATATTTAAATTCTATTTTTTTTTTGTTGTTGTTGTGAATTCTTTTTTTTTTCTTGGCCTTTTTTTAATTAGATAGAACAGTATTGAAGGCTGATTTATACTTCTACGTCAAGCGCACGCGTATTCTATGGCAGAGCCTATGCGTGGACGCATAGCCCTCGCTGTAAACGTTGCCGTCGCTGATGTCCACCTCTCAAAAAATGTAACTACATGTCACAACGACGCATAACGCAAGCTCTGATAGGTTGGCTTGGAAACGCAGACGAGTGTGGGCGGGACCGAGAGCCGCGCGAGTCTGTTGGAGTGACTGTTTAAAAGTTTCGACTGTTTACAAGGAGCTCTGGATGGAGACTGTTGCTTTGTGTTGGGTTAAAGTTGTTGCACGTCCGCCAATCCCAACCCTCAAAATGAGCAAGATTGAACCACTTGTACATTAAGGAAGCGTTCAGAAAAAACAAAACACCAGCAAAGAAACTCGACACAGAGGAACATATACCTACTGCCAGCTAGAGCTTCAGAAGTGTTATTGCAGAGCAACAGAAACAGAGCGCAGAAGTATAAATGCACAGCTACACGCATTACATGTAAGTGCAATGCAGATGCATTTTAATACATGCTTTATTTGCTATGTTGAAGTGTAAGAAAGTAGCTAAACCATTAAAAAAATCATTTCATTTTAGTATTATCACATGGCGAATATAATTGGACAAACAACAATAGTAAAAATAGCATTGTGTCTTAAACATTTTAATATATTTAAAGTCTTATTTTGGACAATCTGTATTCTTCAATTTGATGTTTTTTTTCACTTTATAATGTTTACAGTTCAGTTTTACATCTTGATTTTTTATTATTTTTTTTAAAAGTGATTTATCCCATATTTTAAATTATGCTTTACACTTTAATGTGCCTAAATATGAACACACAACATCCTGGCAAGAAATTACCAACGCTGTCCAGTTTTTATACAATTTTTTATCAATTACATTTACAGAATAAAAACGGATGTGTTTGGAGTCGAGGAAAAAAATGGTGTCAACATTTTTAAAAGTTACAACTCTATCATAAATGATAGAAAATTATTATTATTTTGGTGAAAAAGTTCTGATATACACTCACCAGCCACTTTATTAGATATATTAAAGTCCTGCTCGTTAACACAAATTCCTAATCAGCCAATCAGATGACAGCAACTCATTGTATTTAGGCTTGTATGCATGGTCAGGACGATCTGCTGCAGTTCAAAGCGAGCATCAGAATGGGGAAGAAAGGGGGTTTAAGTGACTTTAAACGTGGCATGGTTGTTGGTGCCAGACGGGCTGCTCTGAGTATTTCAGAAACTGCTGATCTACTGGGATTTTCACTCACAACAATTTCTAGGGTTTACAGAGAATGCTCTGAAAAAGAGGAAATATCCAGTGAGCGGCAGTTCTGTGGGCGCAAATGCCTTGTTTGTACCAGAGGTCAGAGGAGAATGGCCAGACTGGTTTATTCCAGTAGAGCACCTTTGGAAGATTGGCATCATGGATGTGCAGCCAACCAATCTGCTGCAATTATGTGATGCCATCATGTCAATATTGAGCAAAGTCCCTGAGGAACATTTCCAGTGTCATGTTGAATCTATGCCACAAAGGATTAAGGCAGTTCTGAAGGCAAAAAGGGGTCCAAACCGGTAATAGTAAGGTGTACCTAATAAAGTGGCCGGTTAGTCTAAATCTGCAATTGCCCAGTAACCAGTAAGTTTATGAGTTTAAAATTGTTCATTGAGAACAGTTTTAAATGTGACTAATTAAGATTTAGCTGTATGCATTAATTGTTTGTGAAGATTTGCTATTGAAGCTAGACACGCAGACAGAGCTAACCCGCTCAAGTGTGTGCTTTTTGTTTATTGCTTTGCACTCTGTAATTAATTAAGGCATGTTGTGAACTTGTGTCTGTGTAGTTTGTAGTTGTAGATGCGCTTTAAACCGGCTGATCGGTGAAGATGTGAATAACCGGCTTGTTTGATGTTTCTCATTTCTGCTTGTTCATGCAGAGGGAGTGAAAGAGGCACGGGCAGGAAAGAGCCATTTAGCGAATCAGACGTTTCCTCTTGAGTAATTGAAGCCAGAGTCACTGTTGCGATCCAGCAGCCAAAAGTTGTAATTGAATTTGTGTTTCGGCAATTGGAAATGTGCATGTGAATATACACAGCTTGCTTTTTTAAGTGCACCGTTTTTTGGATGTTACCTGTCATGTAGTCTGAAGTGTAGCTGTGTGTGAATGTAGAGGTCTGCAATGGTCAAAGTTCAGGATAAATGGTGTTATTGCCTCACAAATGAAAGAGGTAAATCTGGACTTCCTGAAACAAAGCATCAGTTTTAGCACACGTAATAGAGTAATGTCATTGGACCAATCAGAGAAGAGTACAAATCCATTAGAGAGTGCCATCTACATTTTTGTGAATTTAAAAACGTTACTTTGGGAATGTTTCATTGCATGTTTAAATTTAAAATCCACTAGAGGGCGCAGTCTACATTTTTGTGAATTTAAAAACGTTACTTTGGGAATGTTTCATTGCATGCTTAAATTTAAAATCCACTAGAGCGCGCAGTCTACATTTTTGTGAATTTAAAAACGTTACTTTGGGAACGTTTCATTGCATGTTTAAATTTAAAATCCACTAGAGGGCGCAGTCTACATTTTTGTGAATTTAAAAACTTTACTTTGGGAACGTTTCATTGCATGTTTAAATTTAAAATCCACTAGAGGGCGCAGTCTACATTTTTGTGAATTTAAAAACTACTTTGGGAACGTTTCATTGCATGTTTAAATTTAAAATCCACTAGAGGGTGCAGGCTACATTTTTGTGAGTTTAAAATGTTACTTTGGGAACGTTTCATTGCATGTTTAAATTTAAAATCCACTAGAGGGTGCAGTCTACATTTTTGTGAATTTAAAAACGTTACTTTGGAAACGTTTCATTGCATGTTTAAATTTAAAATCCACTAGAGGGCGCAGTCTACATTTTTGTGAATTTAAAAACTTTACTTTGGGAACGTTTCATTGCATGTTTAAATTTAAAATCCACTAGAGCGCGCAGTCTACATTTTTTTCAAATTTAACACATGTTATTTAGGGTTATGAAATACATTACTTAAGGTACGTTTCATTGCGTTGTTTTAAATTGCAAATCATTGGTCGTTGTCTACATTTTTGCAATGATAATCTGAAAAGTTATTTAGAGTACGTTTTGTTGCACATTTCATATAACAAATCCACTAGATAGTGCTGTCTGCAAATGTTTGCGTTGGGTGTTTCATCGCATGATTCTAATTGCAAATCCACTATTGCGCGCTGTCTACATTTTTGCAATGATAGTCGAAAATACGTTACTTTGGGTACATTTCATTGCATGTTTTAAAATACAAATCCACTAGAGGACACTGTCTACATTTGTGCAAATCTGAAATGAACTGGATTCAAATTTTTTTTTACATTTTTCTATTTGTGTGAATTTGAAATATGTTGGGCTTTTAAAATGCGTCACTTACAGTAAGTTTCATTGGATGTTTCAAATTATAAATCCACTAAATAGAGCCATCTACAGTAATACGTATTTGAAATATGTTAGGGTTCTGAAATGCATAGGGTATGTTTTATTGCATGTTTCACATTTCAAATTCACTACAGGGCTCTGTATATTTTTGTGATGACAATCTGAAATGTGTTACTTAGGGTACGTTTTGTTTACGTTTCAGATGACAAAGCCACTAGATCAGGGATGGGCAAACTTGATCCTCGAGGGCAGGTGTCCCTGCAGAGTTTTGTTCCAACACTAGTAAAACACACCTGAAAAAACTAATCAGTGTCTTCAAGATCACTTGAACTCTATAGGGAGGTCTGTTTGAGTAGGGTTGGAGCTTAACTATGCAGGACACTAGCCCTCCAGGATCAAGTTTGCCCACACCTGCACTAGATGATGTGATGTGTATGATGTGTACATTTTTGCAAGTCTGAAATGCAATGCGTTGGGTACGTTTTGTTGTAAGTTTCAAGTGTCAAATCCAATAGAGGGCGCTGCCTAGATTTTTGTGAGTTTGAACTATGTTAGTTTGGGTCCTGAAATGCGTCACTTAGGGTATGTTTCATTGCTAGTTTCAAATTACAAATCCACTAGAGGGCGCTGTCTAAATTTTTGCGATGATCATCTGAAATGGGTTACTCGTGTTATGTTTTGTTGCACGTTTTATATGAAAGATCCTCTAGATGGCACTGTTTACATTTGTGCAAATCAAAAATGCACTACGTTCGGTATGTCTTGTTGTATGTTTTTCTCATTTTTGTGAATTTGAAATATGTTGGAGTTCTAAAATGCGACATTTATAGTAAGCTTCATTGGATGTTTCAAATGACAAATACGCTAGAAGGCGCCATCTACAGTTATGCGTATTTGAAATATCTTAGTTGGGGTTCTGAAATGCGTCACTTAGGGTACGTTTTATTGCATGTTTCAAATTTTAAATCCACTAGAGCAGGGGTTCCCAATCTTTTCAGCCTGCGACCCCAAAAATGACAATGCCAGTGACTCGTGACCCCCCATATCCTCTGAGGTGGTTGTAAATATAGAAACCTTGCATGCAATGGTGCTCACACTCCAATACACCCAATTCTATTCTTCGTTTAATTTTTTTAATGTATGTCAGTGCTGTAAATGGGCCAGAAAGTTTAATCTGGTGCCATAAAATCAGTCTGCTGCATCTGAAGCTATTGCTGTCTCTTTAATATAATGTAATTACCCCAGGGGTCGCAATCCAATAGAACTAGTAACTATAAGCTACTATAGTAACAATATTGCATGCAACTATAAACAACTATTTTTTTCTCTTCAGTAAAAAATGGTAATTCTAGTGGTTAATTGAAAATAAATAGATTTTTGGAAATCACCAGGCGACCCCTCTTCATTATACCGCGACCCCTAGGGGGGTCCCGACCCCCACTTTGGGAACCACTGCACTAGAGGGCGCTGTCTATATTTTTGCGACGATCATTTGAAGTGTGTTACTCGCGTTATTTTTGTTGCATGTTTTATATGACAGATCCTCTAGATGGCACTGTCTGCATTTGTGCAAATCTGAAATGCACTGCATTCGGTATGTTTTGTTGTACGTTTTTCTATTTTTGTAAATTTGAAATATGTTGGGGTTCTAAAAAGCAGCACTTACAGTAAGTTTCATTGGATGTTTCAAATTATAAATCCACTAGATGGCGCTGTCTACATTTTTGCATATCTGAAATCTGTTGCTTTGGCTACATTTTGTTGTATGTTTCAGGCGTCAAAGCCACTAGAGGGCGCTGCCCTCTACATGCTACATTTTTGCAAGTCGGAAATATGTTGGAGCACGTTTTGCTCCACGTTTCAAATACACATCCTTCTTGTACACATCCAGGAGAAGGCAATGCTTGTCGTACAGATCAGCTAGCAAAACACTGATCTAAACCTTTCCCTGAACACAACAAGTATTGTTTTCAAAAGCAAACGTAAGAGAAAAGTGCACTGTGACCACATAGATTTACCTTGATTTTGCGTTGCTTTAATCTTTATTGCGGCAGGAGTGCGCTGCAGCTTTCCGATTGCTTTCCGTCACAACACTGTACAAAGTGAGGTACAAGCAGACCACGCCAGAAATGTTGTCCTTATGGAGATAGATAGGTCACGTAAACATATACATTACAAATCATAGGCAGCGTTAAGTTGTGCAAAGAACTGCACAAAATAATCCTCTATTTATCGATAATGTCCATGTAAATATTCTTAGTGTGAAAAGGAACAAAAATCGTTGGTATCATACTGCCCCCTAGTGTTCATTTCACCTAGGAACACCAGTCAAATGTATGTTGAAATAGGATTTTTGCAGTTTCACAAAAATGTTGCCTGATATTTATAAATAAGCCAGCATTGCTGATGTTTTTATTGGTCGCGCATTGATTATCAGTTGTTAACTGTGTACTTATGTTTACTCTGACCCTCAGATGACCGGTGAGAGAAAGCCTGCATCATGTTTTCTGGATGAAAAGACCTTCCGGCTTTGCTGTCGGCTTTTTCTCCAGCACTCGGAGAGCATCCAGGACGGCTGGATCTGGGAGCAGATCAAGGTGAAGCAAATGTTTGAGTAGCTCCACTAAGTCTGGGTGTACTTCTGCTCCTTAGAAGATCAGAATGAAAGAAAGAGCTCCAGGGTGAAGCTCACAAAACATGTCCAGAAAGAAAGAGTGGAGAGGAAGAAAATTTGGCCAGGTTTTAGATGATTTTGACAGTAATATAAATTCAGCTCTTTCTCTCCTGAATTTTGCATCGCTCTTGCTAATAATGTGACTTTATTAGGAGCTTTGTTACATTTTTATTTGCACATTAAAGTGATTTAGTAGTGCATAATCATTTTGCTACTGAATTTCAGTGTTCATTTAAAATATTTATATATATTTTTTTACTTTATATAAATTTCACTAAAAAGTAATGCTTTAAAAGCAGTTCAAAAATGTTGCTATAATGCTGAAATGCACACATTCTGTTTAAAAATTCCCAAGTTTCCAATGGAGGACTAATTATTCTCTATTTATCCAGGGTTTCCGCAGGCTCTTAATAAGTCCTAATGTCTTAAATCCCAAAATCAACATTTTAGGCCTTACGTCTTTAATTGACTGAAAAATTGTGTTGTAGGTCTTAAACAAGGCCTAATTTTTCTTTGCTCATGTTTAGTAACCAAATCTGGCCAAAACCTATACATTCACCAACAATCCATCTCAATAAAACTTTAAACTTTTTATTTGAAAGGTAATTTTAACTCTATTTATCATAATGGTTTAATTATTTTGCCTACAATAACATCTGTTTAAAAGTGCTCCATGTATTTATTGCTGAGGAGACTGAGATTGTTGTGCATAGATTTAGTTTACTATAGTTTTAAAACTTTTTAAAACTTTACATTTTTTAACTAACATTTATTTTATTTATTTTTTTAAAGAAAGTTTATGTTGGAAAAAATGTATGGAGACAAGTTGAACTTGTTTGTTTTCGCACAAATATTTGAAATATTTTGCTAAGAAATATCTAAAATATTAAATTTTTTTATTATCAATGTATTATTGTATTACTTAATGTATTGAATAATATATACTTTTTGATAGGTCAAATTTAAATCTCATCCATCTGGGATATTTAGAAAAATTCCTTTGCCTTTAGCCCTTTATGAGTCTGAAATTTCATTCATAATGATCTTTAAAATGTCTTTAAATGTCTTAAATTTAACTTGATGAAACCTGCAGAAACCCTGTTATCGTCATTTTTCATTGTAATTATTTTTAGTTCGCATATTTCAATAGTTCTTTCAAAATGGTCTTGCTTATTAATTTATTAAAACTTAAAGATTAGTTATAGTTTTTATTAGTTAATTTATTAAAACTTGTAAGTATTGTAGTTTTTATTAACCAATTTTGGTTTGTTTGTTTGTTTGTTTGTTTGTTTTCCATTCTAATATAATATTTTTACATTTATCATGTACTTTTTTCATCTAAATATCACGTTCAGCTCATATTTAAGACTATTGCTTAATTTGTATGATATTTTTATGATGTACATTTTGTAAACAATAATTTAAAGCAAATATTCTAAAATATTTAAAATAAGCTGAGTTTAATATTTAAATAATTTTCCCAAAATATTTATTTATTTTTATTAGATTTAATTTTGGTTGAAATATGATTGATAGGTTTCTTGAGATTCATTATGTGGAGCACGGGTCTCAAATCCAGTTCCTGAAGGGCCACAGCTCTGCACAGTTTAGCTTTATCCCTAATTTAACACACCTGATCAAACTAATTAAGTCTATCAGACTTGTTTGAAATGTAATGACCCGTTTCGGTATGCTTTTATGCCTGTTTCTACAGTCAAAAGGTACTAAAAATCAAACCGTATCACACCACTTTTTGGTTACCCTTGGCAAAAGGTACCCAGCATGACAAAAGGGTACCAAAAGGCGGAGCTTGATGCGCAGCTGAATGATATGGACCCTTTTCACACTTCTGTGTTTCTCAGTAGCGGAAGTTGTCATAGTTGGTAAACTTAGAGCGCAGTGAATTGGAGAGTACAACAAATAATTTTTTTTACAATCGTATTTGCTCAAATAATGAAAGAAAAAGCCACAATAATGTTATAAAGACTTTCAGAAAAAGGAAAAAAAAATGTGTGGGACTGATAACAGCAGCCAGAGGAGAGAATAATGACAAATTTGCTGTCCTGTCCCATAGACGCTGCATTAACAACCCCTCGCATAAGCCGTAATTAATTTTTTGTAATTTGAAGCAAAGATGATATAACTTCTTGAGCTGCTGATAATAATGTGTGCATGATTATTAAAGTGCTTCTGTCAGCTGATCCTTTCAGAAAAGGAGAAGCGCGAGAGTGAAGCGTAAAAATAAAGGAGAAGCCAGAAAAAACAAAGGAGTAAATGATTCTTTCAGCAACCTAAATATTACATGTTAAGTCAATGCAAATGCGCGAATAGACATCCTGCGTCGCGATGAGGACTGAGGATGCGGGAATCGCTCGAGTTCAAAAAATCTGAACTTAAGCCGAGATTCGTGCCGAGTTAACCAATCAGGAGTTTGCTCTTGTGGGGGTGTGATTGTGACGTAGGGCCTGTTGTTGGTGTCCCGGGGAAAATCCTCCCGGCGACAACAACATCTTCTCATCAAACTGGGCTCCGCTCAGTCAGAAGCACCGTTAAAAGCCTCCATCATCCGGGTTCATTTTCTGGAGGAGTTTATGAACTCACAGAGCTGGATGCACCCTTGAAAGGATCTAGTGGACTCGACAGACACGGCAGTAAATGTATCAACGCTGTTTTTCAGCCTTCACAAAGCACATAAACATTGTTATTTTATTTAAAAAAAAAACATGTTAGACATTTAACAACGTAGCTAGAGTCACCGGGCAGCCCTGCCCATCATGCGAATCCACGTCTGTTCTGAAGTGAATTTGACACGCGAATGAAGCAAGTAAACTCAAATGTTCACGCGGCTATTTACGTGCGAATAGCGCAATTTATCCACGCGTTCCGCGTCTGGTGTGAACACAGTATAAGGGTCTATATATGTATATTTATTTATTTATTTTATATGATTGCAAACGTTACAGTAGGCTATTTCATTAATCTTCAGTATTAATCAAATTAGGTTCATAGAAAAATTAGTAATAAACATTTATAAACAAGTGTTTATGTGTATAAATCATCTGTTTTGTGAGAACTGCTTCTCATATGATATGTGAACGACTCGTACAGCTTTACTTTGAGCGAGATTTCCTTAAATGAGAATGACGTCGACTGAAACTTTGTCGTACCCCACTTTGTCGTACTGTACCAGTCAGTACCAAGCAGTGGAAACGGGCCATAAGTGTGTTGAAGTGCGGAGCTGTGGAGTTTGACACAAGTGATGTAAAAGGTTTGTTTCTGATGATGATTTGGTGTTGTTGTTGACTTCCAGGGCTCTGATGAAGGCTTCATGAAGAAGACTGTGCTCATCCCTGTAAAATCTAGCCTTTTGGACAAACAGCATGAGTCTATACAGGCTGAAAACACTGAACTTCCGACAGACGACTTTGAGGTAAAACCAGAATCACTCTTCATGTTATCTCACAGACTTGCACTCTACAGGCTCTACTTTAACACAACATTATGGGCGTGTCTGAATCCACTTTTGCTGTTGTAAGGATGGTAAAATCCGTTCTTTGCTGCGGCGCATGGTCTAACAGGGTTGTGCTTGTTCTCTTGATGAGTTCTGGGTGTGTTTTGAGCATAACCTGCTTTGAACCAATCAGAGTCTCATCTCATTCCTTTTAAGAGTCAGTTGTGTTGCTCCATGGTGCATTTGCTATTTACATGGCGACTTTGTAAGTGTAAAAACTGAACGCTTCACTGGTGAGAAAACTGTTAATTAGAGCATCTGCAGCGCGAGGATAAAGAACGAGCCTCCTCCATTCAGCCTCTTTACTTTCACTCTTTACTCCTTTACTTTGGTGGAGTGAGGAAATGGTGGAAACTCACTCCACTGAACACATCCATTAGCCCACATATTTAATTTCCTTTAAGCGCAAAGATTTGCTTCAAAACTATTTTTAAATTCAGTTCTAATCTCCAGCAGAGGAATAAATGAACAGGAATAATGAAGTGTGGTCAGAGTTACATCCAAACACACGTCCTGCTCTTATGCTCCATATGCTGATGCAGACGTCTCCAAAACCCCACAGGTGGACAAATCTGAACTTGTGTTTATTAAAACAAATATAAATCTGTAGATAATCAATAATACTGCTAATAATAATCACATTATACAGATGCAGATCGTCATGAATAAACTGAAAAAGCCCCCCGAGGTGGAGAAGGCATGGAGGCAGTGCTGTTTATATTGATGTAGAAAATCATCATTTCTGGATCATTTTAATCCTTTAATTGTTTTCATCTGTAAAGATATTTGTGTATTGCTGAACATCCTGTGTGTATTCAGCAGTGTGTAAGCGTTTGGACCTGCATAGGTGCACAACTAATGCTCTCTACGCTGGACTTTAGCTTTCAGTTGGTCAGTGGCGCGGCCTATTTCAGTTCCTCAAAATAGCAACGCACTAATAATGTGCCTTAACACAGTGGTCCCCAACCTTTTTCTAACTGCGGACCGCTTGACAATTTTACTACAGACCGGGGGGGTGGGGGAGGGGGGGTTGAAATAATAATAATAATAATAATAATAATAAACGTGAATCCACTGTACTCATATGGAACTTTATTAGCACATTGCTCCAACATTACAATACTATTATGTAGGGGTGTCACGATTTCGATTTTTAATTGAAATCGATCGAAATTTATGCTCAATTTCGATTATCGAATCAAAAAATAGAATCGTCGATGCTGCCACGCCCCCATGTCACGTCAGCTTGGCTTGCCAAGCGGGAAAAAAACAGGCTTGTTGAAGTGCTTGCAGAAGCAGGAGACCCGTCGACAGAGCTTAAACTCTCTCCTCTTTCAATGAAGTCGCCGGTGTGTAAGAATTTTGGACTTCCAGTGAGTTATGTTAACAACGTTCGTGTTGTCGACAAAAAACACAGTTTTGCAAGCTCTGCTATGTATGTATTAGGGTTCGTCCGATAGACAACACCGGCATCGCGATCCTCCGCCCGCCCCCGTTGCAAATCCGCTCGCGAAAAGTACACACTCAGGCCCTGTTTACACTGTCTTTGTTTTTAAATGGCATTTTAGAACGACAACGATTTGACATCCACAGTGGCGTGTAGCATTTCTGAGCAGCCCTCCTTCCTCTCTACCTCTGAAAATGTACATCAGGTGACCACACAGACACAGACGCACACAGCCATGCGCTCGAGACAGCAGGTCCAGGCAGTCAGAGGACTGCTTCAATCTTTCACTCACTTGTACTTTGTCATTTTAGCGAACACCTCAGATACTGTTGGCTGGTTTCTGTTGGTTGTGCGTCTTTTTTACCGACGCCATTATAACGACACAGATCACTGCCTATTTACGAGTCCCGCAGAAAAAGTGATTGACAGGTGGTAATTATGTGCGTAACTTATCTTTATTCATTTACTTTATGATTTGTTTATTGGTAAAACAAAGACCATGCAGGTCAGGTAGTTTAAACGGTAGACTACAAATAATTAATTGGTCATTAATTAATTAATTATTCATAATCGAAAATCGAATCGAATCGTGCCTTTAGAATCGAAAATGTAATCGAAACGAGGATTTGGAGGATCGTGACACCCTTACAATTATAATATTAGGAAGTAATAACTTTATTAACACATTGTTCCAACAATATAACATTATAAAATCAAAAACTGTCCGTAACGTTAAATCAATGGGAGCCCTGAGCTTGTTTCTTTGCAACGAGATGGTCCCATCTGGGGGTAATGGCAGTCAAAAGCCCCTTTCACACATACAGACCTTTCCAGAAAATTACCGGCAATTTTCCAGAAAGGTGTGTATGTGTGAACAGGCCCTTTTCAAAAATACTGGTAAATTCGTTCTGGCTATTTTCCGGAAAGAGAAGTTGTAACATTACCGGTAATTTGCCGGAATGCTGCACTGTGTGAACGCAGAAGGAAAACTGCCGGAAAGAGCGCGTCCACGTCTAGAACGTGCTGACGTGAGACGTCTGCTTTAGCCGATCAGAACAGTCAGACGCATTCACGTCCGCGCGGTTTCTGAGAATAAAAGCCTTTGAATATTTTCCCAGACACATTTAGCTGCTATAAATTAGTCAGATAATGTTTATATGTTCATCTTAATGCCAACCGTGTAAATAATCATCAATAAGATGCTAATGATAAGCCGTTGTTTTTTTACCTTCAAGCTTTGCGTGTGCCCGTGAAAGAGCTTGTGAGCGCCTGCACACACACATCATGCAAGTCCAATATGCCTCTTTTCACGCGCTGTCCCCACAAATCCAGTTTGGCTTTAAATGCAGCTACTTTATCTGCCAACTTAAAGATAATTAATTCTTGTGCAGCACGGTACTGATTGATCCACGGACCGGTACCGGTCCGCAGCCCGGGGGTTGGGGACCACTGCCTTAACACACCTCCTTTATAGACAAGCACACATGAGTCCACAAAGTAGTACAAATGGATTCACTATTTAAACAACTCACGCCAAGCATGTCTTGCACCTTATTGCACCGGGTGTATGATAGGGCCCATAATGATAGTGATCTGATCAACCCTCTTAAAGGGCCATGAAACCCCCTCGTTTCAGCAGGGTGTTTTCACACCTCTACTTTGGAAAAAGTCAGAAAAGTGGGCGTGTCCAGCTGTGTTTAGGGGGAGTGTCGGAGGAACTAAAGTGGGAGGGTGTGGGAGTGTCTATTTGGGCACGCTGAGTTTCTGAGTCAAAATACACAAACACAGTAGAAAGTGATGGTGTTTAACCTACATGGACATCTGTAGTCGAATTATTTGCCAAATTACTAAATGTTGGACTTTAACTGCAGTTTGGCTCTTTCATTCAGGGAATTCATTCATGCCCCTCGCGACAAACGAGATATTTGATTCGAGGAACTGCTCTAAGCGTGTATTTTTCATGCAACGTTTGATACCGCACGGCGAATGAGTGAAAAAAACCCTCCGCATTTCCCGGAAACTTAGATGCACACGGCAGGTAGCGTCAGAAAGCTGTGTGTGTTATTCCGGTCACTAAATGCGGTGAAAATCCTACACGAGGTTAAAGTTTGATTGTGGTGCTAACATGTTTACACTCGGTGCAATAGTTAACTTAGTTCGATACAAAAAAACTGAATAAACAAAGAGCACTGGTCGCTCACTTACCAAATCTGTAGAGACAGGACAATCACCAGCAACTAGAGCCGCGTCTTTATTAAGAGGAGACTACAAGCGAATCCGGATCTCAGCGTTTGCAGATGAGAACAGCTCTCAGGTAAACAATAATCCTCCTTAGACACGTAAGTTATTGTTGTCGAGCGTCGCGTACACTGTTAATCCACACGTGACTCCAGCTGAGCTCTCACAGAGAGAAAATGAAAACAAAACTTAACTGCAGCAAACTATAAAAGCAACACTTCACACTTGTTTTGCCAACACAACGTGGCGTCTCTGCCGTCTAAACACTCTGACAGTAATGAATATTAATGAAGTTGCACAATAGAGCGCGCTGATTGGTTTGAACCAAGCTATACTCCTGCATTAATGCATCACACTGTAAGACGTAATAAGACACACTCTAGCACAGACGTCCAGTCTGCACGCTGGAATACACACTATTATGTCATGACCGTGACGCAGCTTCAAAAATTCGTTTCAAACCGGAAGTACGAATTTGCTTGAAATAACGCAAAAACAACCAATTTACACTTTTTAGTGAAATATAGGTGTCCTAATAGTGTTTTTAGCAGTGTGGGACACATATACGACTGTCAACAGCTCAAACACATGTGCTCTGGTGTTTCGTGACCCTTTAACATTAAAATAATAATAACCAAAGTCGCTCAATCTGACCTATTTTGGACATATGAGAGGATCGTCTGTGAACTGAGGGTGGAAAGAGCAAGTCCGTTAATAAAAACAGGCCACCAAAAACCAAGAGTGACCTAAGTGTTTCCCCACATACTGAAGCAATTACCTGAAGGAAACACTTTGACTAATCCTGCACTTTATTGCCGTGCCGGCTTTAGTTTTGGAAAAACTTGCTAATGTTGGCCTGTGCTTTTATGTGTCCATTAAGATGTTTCTGCTCTTTTGTCCCTCACGATGCCTCAGCCTTGTCTACACACTTCATGCACTGTCCTGTTTTGGGAAAGTAGCTGTGCGTGACATATTTAACCAGTGTTTTACGGGTTTTTGAAAATATAATGTTTGCAGGTTCGCACCATAGCCGTGCTTCAATGCGAGCTGTCTGCAAAGGTGTCAAAAAGTGCTTGATAAATAATGATATCGTCTATCAAATAAATAAAGAGTCGACTCTAAATTCATTTGAAGACTCAATGGTCACATGACTCAATTAAATATCGAAACAAATCAGAGAATAAAATGTCCAACACAACACTGTCAGCTCAGCCGTCATTATTTCAGTAGTGGAAGAGAGAAGGAAGAGAAAGAAAGAGAGACAAAATAATATTAATAATAATAATAATAATGATAATAGTAATGCCTTTGTTTGTTGTGAACACACGCCCTCTACAGGGGAAGATCAAACATGTTTTTGTCTTTTTTTTGTTGAGTGTAATTTTCTTTCTTTCTGGAAAGATGGCAAGGCAAGGCAAGGCAAGGCAAGGCAAGTTTATTTATATAGCACATTTCATACACAATGGCAATTCAAAGTGCTTTACATAAACAAGAATAAAAGAAACAAGTAAAATAAAAATAAAAACAAATAATAAAAATGCATAAAAACAAAACAAAACATAAAAACAGGTAAAATGTGATATGAAAGAATGAAGAAGAAGAGAAAAACATGATAGTGCAATCTGTCGGATAGAAAGAGATGGATAGATCTTTTTTTCTTTCTTTCTTTTTCCCCCCTTGCGCTCTTTTTTCACTCTCACGTTCTTCACATTCACGTTGTTTTCTCTTTTTCACTCTTTCTTTCTTTCTTTCTTTCTTTCTTTCTTTCTTTCTTTCTTTCTTTCTTTCTTTCTTTCTTTCTTTCTTCATTTCTTTTCGTTCCTTTCTTTTTCTTTCTTTCTTTTCTTTTTTCTTTCTTATTTATCACTCTTTCTTTTTCTTTCTTTCTTTTTTTTCTTTTTATCTTTTTTCTTTTTTTCTTATTTGCATCACTCTTCTTTCTTTCTTTCTTATTTTTCTTTCTTTCTTTTTTATTTATTTATCTTTCTTTCTTTCTTTCTTTCTTTCTTTCTTTCTTTCTTTCTTATTTTTCTTTCTTTCTTTCTTTCTTCTTTTTCTTATTATTCTTTCTTTCTTATTTATCACTATTTCTTTTTCTTTCTTTCTTTTTTCTTTTTCTTTAAATCATTCTTTCTTTAATTTCTTTCTTTTTTGCATCACTCTTTTTTCTTTTCTTTCTTTCTTTCTTTCTTTCTTTCTTTCTTTCTTTCTTTCTTTCTTTCTTTCTTTCTCTCTCTTTCTTTCTTTCTTTCTTTCTTTCTTTCTGTCTTTCTTTCTTTCTCTTTCTTTCTTTTCTTTCTTTCTTTCTTTCTTTCTTTCTTTCTTTCTTTCTTTCTTTCTTTCTTTCTGTCTTTCTTTCTTTCCTTCTTTCTGTCTTTCTTTCCTTCTTTCTTTCTTTCTTTCTTTCTTTCTTTCTTTCTTTCTTTTTTTTCTTTCTTTCTTTTTCCTTTTTTCTCTCTTTCTTTTTCTTTTTTCTTTATATCTTTTATCATTCTTTCTTTCTTCTTTCTTTCTGTCTTTCCTTCTTTTTTCTTTCATTCTTTCTTTTTCTTTGTTCTTTCTTTCTCTCCCTCTTTTTATTCCTTTTCTTTCTCTTTCTATCTCTCCCTCTCTTTATTTCTTTGTATCACTCCTTTCTTCTTTCTTTTTTTCCCTCTTCCTGTTATCATTAGAAATGAACATGCCTTAGAATGTTGTGAGCAAGACAAACCTCTCTAAAACTTAATATTGTCCTCCTAAAATACACAGACTCGTTTATATCCTGAGTGGTCGTGGGCTCTGAAATGTGGACGGTGTTTCTGTTCCTCCACTCTCAGACTGTTTCATTAGAAAGCCCTTCCGGCTGATTGCAAAATGACTCGACTTCTTGCATATTTACATTCAGCTCACATGCACGCACGCACACAAGCACACACACATGCACACATACACGCACACACACGCACACATACACGCACACACACACACACTCAACACCTTCTACTCTTCTGAAGGAGATGTTGGTGTATTCTGTGTGGATGAAGTAAATGTGATATGCCAGATATTCTGTGGTCACGGCTGGCTCGTTTACTCTTATTTGTTCATTCAGTAGAAACATCTGTATGAGTTCAGTGTTTATTTGTTTTTGAAATAATAGATTGACTACAAAATGCAATGCAAAATGCGAGGAATGTTGTGTTGTGTTACGATATGTTATGTTACGTTATGTTACGTTACGTTGTGTTATCTTGCGTTGTTACGTTACGTTGTTTCATTACGTTGTGTTAAGGTACATTGTGTTACGTTAGGTTGTGATACGTTACGTTGTGTTATGGTACAAGGTGTTACGTTACGTTGTTACCTTACATTGTTACGTTACATTGTGTTACGATGTGTTGTATAACGATGTCTTGCGTTACGTTGTGTTACATTATGTAACATCGTAATGTTATATAATACGTTATGTTATAATGCATTACCTTGTGATACGTTACGTTGTTTTACTTTACGTTACGTTGTGATACGTTACGTTGTGATACGTTACGTTGTGATACTTTACGCTGTGATATGTTATGTTATGATGCATTGTTAAGTTGTTGTTACGTTATGTTGCCTTACGTTATGTTTTTACTTTCATTTGTTCTTTATTTTTTTATTCTTTTGTTCATTCTTTTCTTTTTTGTTCATTGTTTCTTTCTTTTTTATTCCTTCGTTTATTCATTTCTTCCTTTCACTTTTTTTACTATTCACATTTCTTCCTTTCACTTTTTTTTACTATTCACATTTCTTCCTTTCACTTTTTTTACTATTCACATTTCTTTCTTTCTTTTCACTGTAAGCTAATTTGTTTGCAGATTCCCATTAGAATCTCAAAAAAAAGTCAAATTCTTGTTGTAATGTGAATATTATTTGATTTGAAATAGAAAATAATTTAAATTGTGGAGTTTTTATCGTGGGAATTATTGTTGTATATTTATTTTATTCATTTCTAATATTAATAATCACATAATCCCAGTATTGTCTAATAACTAACTCATTATCCACATCTGCTTTGTTGACTGGTGTTATAGAGTTTCAGTCTCTCTGTGCATTAAAAAAAGATTGAGAAAACTTGACCTTGGTGAAAAGTGTTTGGCTGCAAGCAGGAGCTTGTCGGCTACAAGAAAGCCTCTTTTTCTCCATTGTTCAGGAAAAGAAGAAAAAACATATCCAGCAAGATCAGAAGATTAGAAAAGGCAGGACCACTTTTTTTCTTTTCTTTTTTTTTTGTGGCATCCTGTTTTGAGCGGTGGAATTTTTTTTAATGCCTCACTCAACAAAAACCTATCAGGGTTAACCATTTCTGTACCGCACACTTCATCTATACTCAATGTTACTCTTTGTCTATGAACACCTGCACACGAAGAAGCCAGATAATAATATAAAACAATAGCTGCCTGTATAATAATTAGGTCTGCCTCAATTTATACTTTAAACCACCAAAATCTTTCATTATATACACACACACACACACACACACACACACACACACACACACACACACACACACACAAATAGATAAATTATTCTGTTAAATTTATTTTGTAATATTTATTTATAAAAAAATGTTTGTAATAATTATTTAACAGCAGATGGTGCTCTAGGCTAGTGTTTAACATTAGAGGGCGCTCTAGGCTAGTTTTTTAACAGCAGATGGTGCTCTAGGCTAGTGTTTAACAGCAGATGGTGCTCTAGGATAATTTTTAAACAGCAGACGGCGCTCTAGGCTAGTTTTTAACAGTCGATGGTGCTCTAGGATAGTGTTTAATAGCAGATGGTGCTCTAGGCTAGTGTTTAATAGCAGATGGTGCTCTAGGCTAGTTTTTAACAGCCGATGGTGCTCTAGGATAGTGTTTAATAGCAGATGGTGCTCTAGGATAATTTTTAAACAGCAGACGGCGCTCTAGGCTAGTTTTTAACAGTCGATGGTGCTCTAGGATAGTGTTTAATAGCAGATGGTGCTCTAGGCTAGTGTTTAATAGCAGATGGTGCTCTAGAATAGTTTTTAAACAGCAGATGGCGCTCTAGGATAGTGCTTAACTGCAGATGGCGCTCTAGGCCAGTTTTTATCAGCAGATGGCGCTCTAGGATAGTTTTTAAACAGCAGATGGCGCTCTAGGATAGTGCTTAACCGCAGATGGTGCTCTAGGCCAGTTTTTATCAGCAGATGGCGCTCTAGACTAGTTTTTAAACAGCAGACGGTGTTCTAGGATAGTGTTTGCTTGCAGATGGCGCTCTAGGCTAGTTTTTAACAGCAGATGGGGCTCTAGGATAGTGTTTAAACAGCAGATGGTGCTCTAGGCTAGTTTTTAACAGCAGAATGTTGAGCATCAATCATGATGTCATAGTTTATTTGAGCCACTCTGCCCTTTCCAGCCTCTGTGATTCCTGACATGGCATGGGATGTGAAACAGTAGTTGTGTGTCTCCAGACTGAGCTCGTATGGAGGAAGATGTTATTAGTGAAGGCATGGATGCGTGAAGAATCCTGAAGTCTGTGTTGAGGGAAACTCAAACCTCTGCTGGTCCAACACGTCTCTCACACACTAGTGCTAATTAAAGCTGCGCGTATCTGTGTGGTGCGTAAAGGCCATAGTGATGATGTCATTGACCTGAAGTCACATCACAGGGGCCATGCAAGAGTCTCAATGAATGATGAGGATTGTTATTAATATTATCAAGACTTAACATGTAAGCTGTTGTTTCAATTATAGCAGTAATGAACAATGCCTAATAAGTATAATACTATTTATTCTGTGATTCAGAGCTGAATTTTTAGCATCATTATCCCAGTCCTCATATCACGCCAACCTTCAGAAGTAATATTATAATATGCTAATTCAATTGTCAATACACATTCGTGTTGTTTATTGCTGAATACAGCCGTGCTACATCGACTTGAACTTTGCCTGTTGTCTTAAATTCTGAGAGTTGCTTTTCACCATCAATGTTTGCTGCATTTATAGCTGAATCTTTATCTTGGAGCGGCATGAATCTCAGTCTCACTTTCCGTCTGTTTCTGGTCTTGTTTTCCAGGCAGACGCTGAGGATGAAACGGCTGGAGTTGATGCGGTGTGTGAAAGTCATGCTGTGCTGCGCTATGAATACCACGTTCTGTATTCCTGCAGCTATCAGATCCCCGTCCTCTATTTCAGAGCATCAGCGTTAGGTACGCCGCAGTCCCATTCGCCGTGTTTCTATCATTAAACCGCGCAGACTTGTTTATACACCGTCCGCTTCCCCTTATCACTGTGTATTTCAGAGCCCTCGCTGCTCTGCTTTTCTCAAAGTCTGCAGAAAAACACATTTGTCAAATATACAGCGAGTCTCGACAGCAGTGTTTGAGTTCGGAGAAAGCCAGACAAAGTTTGTGCTGTAAATATACATTAATAGCTTCCATGTCAACATTTTTAGGAGCTTTTGTTTGAGCGAGTTAGCAAATATGCACATGCAAGAGTGAATTATTTGAAAATGATGGCTATATTCAGCAACATGGGCTTTTTGGAAATTCGTGCTTCAGCCTAGATTTGTGTAGAACTGGGAAAACGGGTTTAAACATGCATTTGATGGCAGTTTCTAAACACTAGGGGGCAGTATAATGGCAGTTTCTAAACACTAGGGGGCAGTATGATGACACCAGCTTTTGTTCCTTTTCACACTAATGATATTTATAGAGACATATTTTTGGCAAATTAAGAATAGTTATTTGCACCCCCCCCCCAAAAAACAAAAAACAAAAAAACAAAAAAACAAACAAACTACAAAACTTTAATAAATGCAGTCTATGATTTGTAATCGAATACATTTGCGTCACCTATCTATCTTCATATGGACAACTTTTCTTCCATAGTCAGTTTGCTTGGTCATCTGTATTTCAGAATCACAATATTGTAGACTGTTTCTTAGTGAACATAGTGGATATGTTATCTGAAACTTACAACAAAACATAGCCTAACTTATGCATTTCAGCTTTGCAAATAGTTAGACAGCACCCTCTAGTGGATTTGTCACCAGAAACGTACAACAAAATGTACCGTAAGTAACATATATCACATTCGCATATTGTAGACGGCGCTTTCTAGTGGAATTGTTACCTGAAATGTACAATGAAATGTACCCGAAGTAACATGTTTTACATTCACAAAATATAGACAGCGCCATCTTGTCGATTTGTTACCTGAAACGTACAACGAAATCTACTCGAAGTAACATATTTCATATTCGCAAAATACAGATAACACACTCTAGTGGATTTACCACCTGAAGCATGCAACGAAATCTAGTCTAGGTAACATATTTAATATTCGCAAAATATAAACAGCGCCCTCTAGTGGATTTGTCACCTGAAACGTACAATAAAATTTATTCTAAGTAATGTATTTCAAGTTAGCAAAATATAAACAGCGCCCTCTAGTGGATTGGTCACCTGAAGCATACAAAGAAATGTACCCTAATTATGGTATTTCACATTCGCAAAATAGACAGCACCCTCTAATTGATTTGTCACCTGAAACGTACAACAAAATGTGCCCTAACAAGTAACGCATTTCATATTTGTAAAATATAAACAGCACCCTCTAGTGGATTTGTCACCTCAAATGTACAACGAAATATAACCTAACAAGTAATGTGTTTCTTAATCTCAAAATATAAACTGCGCCTTCAAGTGGATTTGTCACCTGAAATATACAATAAAATGTACCCTATGTAATAAATTTCATATTTACAAAATATAAACAGCACCCTCTAGGGGATTTGTCACCTGAAACATACAACGAAATGTACCCTATCAAGTAACGCATTTCATATTTGCAAAATAAAGAGGGTGCCATCTAGTAGATATCTAGTAGATGTTTCAGAGACGTATTTCAGCTTCTCAAAAATATAGACAGCACCCTCTAGTGGATTTGTCACCAGAAACGTACAACAAAATGTATCTTAAGTAACATTTCATATTCGCAAAATGTAGACGGCGCTTTCTAGTGGATTTGTTACCTGAAATGTACAATGAAATGTACCTTAAGTAACATATTTTACATTCATAAAATATAGACGGCTCCATCTTGTCAATTTGTCACCTGAAACATACAACGAAATCTACTCGAAGTAACATTTTATAATTGCAAAATACAGATAACACCCTCTAGTGGATTTTTCACCTGAAGCATACAATGAAATCTAGCCTAGGTAACATATTTTAAATTTGCAAAGAATAGACAGTGTGCCCTCTATTGCATTTGTCACCTGAAATGTACAATAAATTTTTCCCTAAGTAATGTATTTCATATTCGCAAAATATGAACAACGCCCTCTAGTGGATTTGTCACCACAAACACATACAACGAAATGTACCTTATGTATTTCAGATTCTCAAAATATAGACAGCGCCCTCTAGTGGATTGGTCACCTGAAACAACGAAATGTACCTTAACAAGTAACGTATTACCTATTTGCAAAATATAGACAGCACCCTCTAGTGGAATTGTTACCTGAAACGTACAACGAAATGTACCCTAACAAGTAACTAATTTCCTATTCGCAAAATAAAGACAGTGCCCTTCAGTGGGTTTGTCGCCTGAAATGTACATCAAAATGTACCCTAACAAGTAACGTATTTCCTATTCGCAAAATATAGGCAGCGCCCTCTAGTGGAATTGTTACCTGAAACGTACAATGAAATGTATCCTAAGTAATGTATTTTATATTCGCAAAATATAAACAGCGCCCTGTAGTGGATTTGTCACCTGAAGCATACAAGGAAATCTACCCTAGGTAGTGCATTTCATATTCGCAAAATGTAGACAGTGCCCTCTAGTGGATTGGTCACCTGAAACATACAATGAAATGTACCTTTTTTTCATATTTGCAAAATGTAGACTGCACCCTTTAGTGGATTTGTCACCTGTATTGTTAAATAAAATTTAAGTAATGTATTTCATATTCGGAAAATATAAACGGTGCCCTCTAGTGGATTGTTCACCTGTAACATACAACGAATTGTACCTTAACAAGTAATGTATTTCATATTCGCAAAATATAGACAGCGCCCTCTAGTGGATTTGTCACCTAAAATGTACACTGAAATGTACCCCTACTAACGTATTTCAGCTTCTCAAAAAATGTAGACCCTCTAGTGCAGTGTTTCTCAAACTATTTTCACCAAGTACCACCCCAGAAAAAATTGTCTCTCCAAGTACCACCATAATGACTGGTATTGAAATACATAGTAGGCCTAATTGGGCGGCTACAGCTTAATACAAAACTACAGATTAATACTTATTATTATGAATATTTATTATTGTCAGCCACTTTAAACATAATAAATAGTTTGAGCAATAACACACTTACAGTTAAAAAGAAGATAAATAAAATGTCAACGTTTAAATTAAAATGTGATTTTAAAAGTTCATTAAAAATGGCACTGTTCTTAAAAAGTTAAAAGAAAACTACTGTACTTACATGTAAAGTATCATAAAGTAGTCTATTCATCAAAACCTGCAACTGTTACTTGGACCTCATAAATATAGGTTGTATGTCATAATATTCATAAATAACTCTGGTAAATTTTTAAATATATGTTGCATGTATATATGTCTTATATGTATATCGTTAAAATCTAAACGTTAACTTGTATTTTAAATATATGACTTGGATTTACATATTTAAATTAGAAATTGTATCTGCTTACTGCTCGTTAGAGTAGGCTATGTGTGTCAGAGAAGCAAGTGATTAAACTATACCTGTAAACACTGATGTAAAAATAAGATACGCCCCCAACAACCGTTACAAATATGGGGAGGAAAATAAACTCAAATGATGGAATACATAACAAACATTAGAAAAATTAAAATAAAATAAAAATGTTAGCCTATTAAAATCAGTTTCCTTATTACATCATTGTTATCATACGCGTCAAAGGGTTAAAAGTGAGTTCATTTTTTTACTTAAAGGTTCAGGACACCCTGGAGAACTTTTTTTTTATATTAACAGATGTGTGTGTGTGTTGAGCATCAGTTAAGACAATGTTAGCACCTGTTAGCTTTAATTGTGGGGAAAACTGGATAATTTTGAGCTTTTGTCAGCTAATTTCAGCTTCCGGATTTAAAATGATTTTTGGGGCGGGATCAAAATCGGCGTTGTAGTGCAGTACCGCAAGTGCAATGATGACGCGTCGGTTTCTCATTATTATTTATAGCGGAGTTTTCTTATCCTATGAGAAGAGCCGGCTGCTTAAAGGGCCATGAAACCCCCTCGTTTCAGCAGGGTGTTTTCACACCTCTACTTTGGAAAAAGTCAGAAAAGTGGGCGTGTCCAGCTCTGTTTAGGGGGGAGTGTCGGAGGAAGAAAAAAGGCTTGGTATGGGAGTGTCTATTTGGGCGCGCTGAATTTCAGAGTCAAAACACACACCCACAGGACAATGTGACTGTGTTTACATGAACATCTGTAGTCGAATTATTAGCCAAATTATTAAATGGTGGACTTTAACTGCAGTTTGGCTCTTTCATTCAGGGAATTCATTAATGTCCCTCCCGACAAACGTGATATTTGATTCGAGGCGCTGCTCTAAGCATGTATTTTCATGCAATGTTTGATACCGCACGGCGAATGAGAGAAAAAAAAACTCAGCATTTCCCGGAAACTTAGATGCACACAGAAAGCCGCGTGTGTTATTCCGGTCACAAAATCCAACACGAGGTTATAGTTTGGTTGTAACTGTTGGTGCTAACTATTGCACTCTATAAAAGCAACACTTCACCCTTGTTTTGCCAACACAACGTGGCGTCTTTGCCGTCTACACTGTGACAGTAATGAATATTAATAAAGTTGCACAATAGAGCGCGCTGATTGGTTTGACCCAAGCTTTACTCATGCATTAATGCATCACACTGTAAGACGTAATAAGACTCACTCTGGCACAGACGTCCAGTCTGCACGCTGGAATACACGCTATTATGTCATGACCGTGACGCAGCTTCAAAAATTCGCTTCAAACAGGAAGTACGAATTTGCTTGAAATAACGCAAAAACAACCAATTTACACTTTTTAGTGAAATATAGGTGTCCTAATAGTGTTTTTAGCAGTGCGGGACACATATACGACTGTCAACAGCTCAAACACATGTGTTTTGGTGTTTCGTGACCCTTTAATTATTCATGAGACCTGCCAGACCTACCAGAGTCAAGCCCAAGCTGTGAGACACGTCACGGACTCACGGCACGGGCACACAGTATTTAGCCGTTCATGAAGGCTCATATGCGTTTGTTTCCATGATCCACGGGGTTTGTTGCATGTTTTCCCCCGCGATCTTGTCAGGGCCGATCATACAGCAAAGCTGTGTGTGTGCTGCAAGCATTTTTGTCGGGAGAGCAGCACGAGAATTAGAGAATGGCGGACGCTGTCTTTTATCAGGAGTTCATTCACATTCAGACACATCACTGTGCTGCTGTGTTTGCCTAAATCCTCCAGATTACCAGCAGGGCTAATGGTTAAAATAGACAGGTCAGGAGACCTGCTGCACTGAGTCTGCTGGATACGGGGATTGAGGGAGAAATCCTCATTTATAGGGTTTACATGAATACACTTATCTTTATAATGATATAAATTGTGGTTGTCTGTATATGAAATTACGAATAACAAATGTAGCAGGGCATTAAATAACTGTTCATTTCTTTGAGTTTTAACTTTGTAAACTATAAACTCATGCGTCTCCTCACGGTTTGTCTCATTTTGTGAGCTAGCTTCGTTCGCTCACGTTCTCCCCTGCTGGCCACGCCCACTCCTGCCCGATGCTCGCGGAGCTCCACGCCCATTAATCATGCATCTTTTGAAAAAATTCTGAAGTAGACTTTAACCGAAAGTGGGGGGTGTCATGGCCCTTTAAATTGTTTAGCGATTCCTCTGCGTACCACTAGAAGAAATCCTGCGCACCACTTGTGGTACATGTACCACAGTTTGAGAACCACTGCTCTAGTGGATTTGTCACCAGAAATGTGCAGTGAATCGTAGCCAAAACAACATATTGCAAAAAAAAATGTAGGCTGAGGCACATATTTACTAAGAGCCTGGGTTTTTATTGTTATTATTTATTATTACTGAGACTGTATTTTTATCCAAATTTGAGATCATCTTATGATTTATTTTTTTTAAGGAATGGCACCTAAGAAAATTAATATAAATTTCTCACATTCTTTATTGCTTAAGAATATCGCTGTGAATCCGGCTCCAGATGATTAATCCTGCGTTCTGTGTTATAGATGGGCGCTCGCTTTCTCTGGAGGAGGTGTGGAGCAACGTTCATCCAAACTACAGACAGAGGCTGAAGCAGGAGCCCTGGGACACACTGACACAGCAGGTGATGTGTGTGACTGAGGCTGTGGGAGTTTCAACATGCTCAATTCTGTCGTACGGCACTGCGAATAGAATTAGAACTCTCATATTGCCAGCCGGGACTCGAACCATTGACCTTCTTGCTTTAAGACCAATCAGTAGCGTCTTTCTAATGCAGTCGACAGACATAAAAGGCCCTTGGCTACCTTTCTGCATCAAAACCTGCAGTCTTGCTGTGACTGGTCAGTTTACATGTCAATCAAAACAGTTCCTGTATTAGTGGGCGGTTCTTTTGATGGTGCAAACTTTACACCGATATCTGGGAAGCGTATGGACAAACTCACTCGGGCCGCTGGGTTTCTCTGCTTTGGGCTGTGATGCAGAGCCGTACACATGATTACAGCGAGACCCTGAATAAATGGAGAGAGAAAGAGGACGAACGGATGCAGAAAGGGCTGATTAGAAGGACATTAGAGGAGAGGGACTGCAGTAACAAAGCAGAAGGTTGAGGGTCTCGAGGAGCTCAGAGAGAGAAATACTGACGCAGGTAAACAACAGTGACTCACATCACGGCCGTATGAACGATGACGCCAGTGGACTCGCTCGCTCTATCCCTGCTCTGCTGTCTGCTCTTCATCTGCACAATTTTCTTAAACCCAAATCACATTCCTGCGTGAGCAATAATGGAGGCAGATTAGGAGAACACAATACTCTGAAGAAGAGTCCGAGTACAGAGCCAACGTGCTGTCTGAGATGATGCAGCTGGGAAAACACAGACATAATGGCTTGTGTGAATACACTTAAAGGGACAGTTCTGCCAGATCATTTCAGTTTACAGTTAAAATTCTTGTGAAATTAAGTTATTAGTTGTATTTTCTGACCCTCAGCACAACATGTAGGTGTCTCTCCTTCTCCAGCAGAACACGACAGCAGATTTGAGCTGATTCTATTGATGATTCCTATAATGGCAGTGAATGATGACCGGTTTATAAATGAGCTCCTGTCAAAGCGTGGTCTCACATGTGTGTGCGTGCGTGCGTGCGTGCGTGCGTGCGTGTGTGTGTGTGTGTGTGTGCGCGTGTGCGCGTGCATATGCATATATATATATATATATATATATGTGTGTGTTTATGTGCATGTGTGTATGCTTGTGTCATCATACGTACGTGCATGCATGTCTGTGTGTATTGGTGTGTGTGTGTGTGTGTACACGTGTGTGTCTGGGTATGTTTGTGTGTGTGGGCATGTTTGTGCATTTGTGTGGGAGTGCGTGTGCATGCATTTGTGTGTACATCTGTGCATTTGAGTGCGTGTGTGTGTGCATGCATGCGTGTGTACATATATATGTGTGTGTGTGTGTATGTGTGTGTTTGTGTGCATGTTTGTATATGTCTGCATTTGCGCGTGTCAGTGCGTGTGCATGTATCTCTGTGTACGTGCATGCATGTGTGAGTCTGCACATGTTTGTGTGTGTGTGCAATGTGTGTATGTGTGCTTGTGCATATGTATATGTGTGGGCATGCGCGTGCTTGAATGCATGTGTGTACATCCATGTGCTTGAGTGCGTGTGTGTGCACATTGTTTGTGTGTGTGCATACGTGTTTGTGTGTGAACACTTGTGTGTGTGCACGTGTGTCTGCGTATGCTTGCATGCGCGTGTGTGTGAGTGTGGATGCATGCGTGTTTGTGTGCATGCATGTGTGTGTATGTTTGTATGTATGTGTGCGTGTGTGCGCAAGCGGATGTATGCATACGTATAGTGTGACGTCTGTCGGTGTGTCTGTGCATGTTTGTATGAGTGTGTGTGCATTCGTGTGTGATATGTCTTCTACAGAAGTGTGTGCGTTGAGAGCAGGAGTGTGTGTGTGTGTATGTGTGTGTGTTTGTTGTCCTCTTCGGCGTCAGTGATTGGCTGGTTCCCCCATGAGGCCTGCAGATGAACTCATGATAATGGACTGCTGCGGTACAGAATCGTTGCTCTTCACACAGCCTGAGAAAGTGCAGCTCAGGAGAATCTGAGGAGTCAGCAGCACGTCTCCACCGCTAACGCTAAC